AGAGGCTGAACAAGCTAGTTAACAAAGCTAGCTCGGTTCTGAGCTGCTCACTGGATTCAGATGAGACGTGTGAAAGGAGGATGCTGGTGAAGATGACCTCCATCTTAAAGCCCCTCCCACCCACTGGTTCCACTGAGGAGACCATGGACAGCTCCTTCAGAGGCAGACTGAGACATCCCAGATGTAAAACAGAACGCTACCGTAGGTCATTCGTCCCCGCTGCAGTACGTCTCAGTTGAGCTGGTGCTGGCGTTATCCGGGTACACAATACCACCAATATAATACTCAGTATGTAGCATAAGAAAGCCATGTAATGTCAAAGGTCATCACACTGGCCAGTCATCTTCATCAGTGTGCTAAAGGTCAACGTGAGCGGTCCAAACCAGAACAAATGCCCTGTTTGTGGCTTTGCCATCTGGGGGAACCGCCACGAAACATTCCTCTCTGCTGCAAGTCACTAGCCTAGTGAACTAGACCAAATTCTTGCTTTGCAAAGTTTGGTCTAGGCATGCTCCATTGGAACCTCAGCAGCTCCTACCAGGACTCTGGCTAGCCAATCACAGCTCTCTAGAGAGGTTTCAAACACATAAAGAGCTGTGATTGGTCCATAATGGTGGGCCAATCATAGTGCCCTATCTGCTTAGTGAACATATCACAGAGCTTTATCCGCTTTGTGGGCCAATCAGGGCACTCTATATGCCTGGTGGGTGGGATGATGCAACAGAGTGAAACAAGAGTATGTCACATTCATTGTCCAATAGCATGCGGAGATCATTTGAAAGACAACGGTAGAACCCGCCCCACAACCGAGAGCCGTCAATGGAGCGTGGCCAGACTAAATAATACATTTATTTAGTCTGGCTTGCCAGGCTAGCAAGTCACGACTCCTTCAGGAGACCTTCACCATCTTCAGATTATTCTTGTAATCCCAGACTTCACATCTTTCCCTAAGACACCTAATTAGACTCTTAATAACATCTAAGATCATGTTTCTTTAGAGTTTTGTTATTGTCTCTGTAGATTTGACCTTGAATAATCATTAATCTACAGATTTCCTGGATAATCAGAAATATAATAAAACAGATTTTTGTAAACAACATTTTTGCATTAGCGTTGGTTCCCTGTACCCGTGTCCAGAGCCGACCAGATATTAAAGGTTCAACCACGTTAATGATCAGTTTTATGGAACATTATACTTTGTTGAATACCTTTCATATTTTAGTGACAGTTTATTTATTGTGACCACTTACAAAACGTAACAAGTGTGTGTTTAATACTTGTGCGATACCGGCTTTCCATAGTCCCCTATAGTTCTGTAAACACAAGTTTCATTTGTATTTGTTGCTTTTAGTGGTTGAAGGTTACGATCTGCCTTTGTGTGCTTACCTGTAATCTTGTAATTTTTCATCTCGCTCTTCTCTGAGTGTTTGTGCCGCTGCAGCAAGTGAATTTCCCCACAGTGGCATCAATAAAGTTTATTCTATTCGAACACAAGAAACCTTGCTTTAAAGAGCAAGTCCCCTCCTACCGGCGCCTTACTCCTCTCCCACTTACTGTTCAAAAAATGCAACTAATGCTGTTGTCTGGCGGGCCGAGAGGGCGGAGCCACTAACAAATACACACACACAGGCTCACGACGGCACTGTGACATCATATGGTACCAGCTGACGTCATAGGGCGAGTCTCAGGTAAGAGCATTGTTTATTTTAATACATTTCCACCCTGGCTTATCACATTAAACATGTTTCCATAGGAAATGTTGTTCTCTACGAGTTTCTGAGGCGCTGGTCTCATTACGTCAACATACAGAAGTTTATTTTCCCGTTTGTCTAAAGCAGCGGGAGCATTTCAGAGTGAGCTGTGTACGGTTCAGTTCTGTAGACCAAACAAGCCTCGTGTCTTATTAAATAATGACTGAAGCAGGCCAAAACCAAACATCAGGAGGTGAGGCTCTTCAACAGGAACCCGTCAGAACGGCGAGAACCCGAAGCTCCGCGTCTCCAGAGATCCTGATGTGGACGAGTCGCAGCAGGAATAAAAGTGCTCCTACTTCTTAAACTTTAACATTGAGCCTGGAACATCTCACGTTGCCCTCTCAAACACATCTCTCTTGAACAACTCTCTGATGGCAGCAGGAACGACTCGGAGATTTTCCAGGAAACGGACATTTGCATCACCGTGGTGTGGAGATTTAAGAGTCGCTCCTCTATGGAAACCTCACTCAGCTAATGCAGAAAACAGGTAAAAACAACAAAAAACAGCTGTTTTAAATGAAGGATTCTGGGAAATCCACTGTGATGGTCGTCTCCAACAACAGAGCAGAGGTTAAAGGTCAGAACGACCTCGTTCACATTTCTACCACATCTGCTTTGCAGGTGTTGTTTTGCAGCACTGACAGGTAAGACATAACTAACCACCTACTCCGTTTATTTGGGTTCTTAGTTTTCTGATTGAGTTAAACGAAACAGGACGCTCTGACCCGGCGGTGGCCGTAACGACG